TTAATAACTTCGCTGCTAATTAATAATTTATCACTTCAAATTTTCACTATTAAATAGCCGAGTAATTAGTAATTTATTATTTTAACTTTTATTTTATTACTCCAACCTTTTGTTATCAAATACTTGAGTAATTAATAGTTTATTAGTTTAAACTTTCATTGCTATATAATCGAGTAATTAGTTATTTACTTAGTTTCAAAATAGAGAGAATTGCGAGATAATCGAAATTCTTTTAGAATTTAAATTTGTAATCAGACTTTCGAAATAAGGAAGCGGAGCGAACTTGAATTGTTTCATCAACCTAATGAGGATCAAGTTATGGTTTATCTAGATTTATCTTAGGTTAACTAAATTGCGGATTTTTATACATTTATAAATTTAGAAAATTTATAGGTGCAAAATTGCAACGGATGCACGTACATAATAAAAAGATATAGAATGTCTTTTGTAATATTTGGTGAAGTAGTAAATATACAAAATAAAAACTTTCAAAATATGTACACATAGAACGATAGATAGAAAAGACTCGAATTTTTTAAATATCCCTTATCTTTCTTAATACAGCAACAAAACAAACTCCAAAACGCTCAGAACTAACCACTCTCGATCGTCGGTGAAACACCAAAAAAATAAAACAAACCTGCACTGTAATCGCGTCAGAAATCAATTTTTATTCAACAGCAAAATAAATATTTCAGTTTCAACGATGCACCGGTGTGAAGATAACACTCGACAAACGAATTTGATTTATCTCTCTGGACGACACCACCCTTCAATTTAAAAAAAAAAAAAAAAAAAAAAAAAACTTTAAACCGTTTCCCTTTACTTTCGACCGCGTGAATTTCCTCTTCTACACACGCGCGCAGTGTGAGTTTCTCTCGTACCTTTCTCGCGCTGGTGTCGAAGCGTGGCACGAAGCGCGGTTCACCGCACGACTTTCAACGTGGCTTGCTCCGCGAGCACTGTTTTCTAAGACGCCTCGATAGGCCGAGGGGTTGCGCGGCTTTCACCCCCATCGCGGCTTGTGACGTCGTAACGCGAACGTGGTGTCCATGTGGTGTCCTAGGCAACCCGGCATTCGTGTATATCCATC